TGGTTACTTTTGTTTACGCCATAAACGCTTTAGCAGCGATGCTGCAGCTCGATGAAGTGGCTCGTAAAAATTTAGGCTTCTCTGAGGAAGGTGGTATTAAATCCGTGCGGAAGTCTCGGCGACTGCAGTTGTCACCCAGATGGAGAAAATTCATTTCTATTCCAATTAAAAAAAAAACTGTATGGCTTTTGTTGCTAATCAGAGTTTCAAATTACGCATGTACTGATCCATGAGGTGCATCCTAACTGGGCCGTACCTTCTTTTTTTGCCTTTGGTTTTTTTGAGATATTCAGATTTTTTGATGATTGATCACTGTCATAAATGGATACCTTTTTTTTTTTTTTCAAAACTTTTTTTGATCTGACTTCATACTTTCCTGCTCTCATTGGTCAGCGTTTTATCACGTCACATGTTAATGATTGAGCTTAGCAGGCAGTGTTTTCATGTTTGCTGTGGCCAAAATTATCGCTTGGTCAGCCTGCTGGTAATCTTTTTCCCTCCGTTATTTCGGAAAAAAATGCCTGATTTTCTGCTTCTCTTCAGTTGTGTGTGTGTACGTGTGTGTGTGTGTGTGCGTGTGTGTATGTATGTATGTATGTATGTATGTATGTGTGATTTCCACTTTATATATTAGCGAGCCTTTACACTTTTTATTGGTTATCTTTCGTGCAGGGAAGGCAGCAGTTAAACTGTACTCTAGCCACCAGACGATAATTTTAAGTACGGATTAATCGCAGTATGTGATTGCCCGACTTTGCAGTACTTTCTAGTCCTCAAAAAGATTATTTTCAGGTTGCATTTCGCGTCTCGTCCTCTCGAAGAGACTGCCATTTTCGTGCAGGTAAGACTGCATAAAAAATTATTATTCAGCTATAATGCCAGCCAGCCGTATCTGAGCAAAACTTTTCCTTGTGTTTGAACTTATTCAAAATGAATAAGAGAAAAACATGCGGCGCGGCCGGTAGCAGCATCACTAATAATGTTCTCCTTTTTCAGGAATTTGGTCTATGCTCTGTGTTTTTTGGTTGGAAATCCATTAGCAGAAGAAGAGAAATGAACATTTATTTCCTACTGTCTACTTGAATAGTGAAGCAGATGCAGTAAGTGCCGTTTTAGCATCTGGAGAAATCTTCATCACCAATTCCTGCTAAATATATGTGTATGTATTGTCTTATTATGACTTATTATTTTCTCTTAGAATTTTGTAAAGCATTTACGACAGTCTGATGTATTTCCCCCTTCCTTTTTTTTTTCACATATTTCACGCTGGAACTAATCTTTGGCTACTTTAGCCCCTTTAAAATGATACAGTCCTTTTGATCTGTGGTCACTCGGGTATACAAGTAGTTCCCTCAGCCCTTTGATTATCTAGTTGTTTTATCAATTTTCATGACTGAGTACAGCTGGTGTTTGTTTGTATGAAAGTTTTAAATGTATTGTGTTTTGTTATTAATCTTTGATTTCTTTCGTTTGTGGATTTTGAAGGTACCCTTTTATCATTCGGTTGGTTTCCGTTGTTTCTATGGCAGTTTTGAATGCGCCGTTTTATTGTTCGGTTGATTTTCGGTTGTTTGTAAAGAATTTTTAAATGTATATTTGAGAAACTGGTAGGATGTATGTTATGCTGTTCCACTTTTTTTAAGAACCTGTAAATAAAGTATGTAGCTTTGCAGTGTACAGTTTTAACTATGGTGGCTGGTCGTTGGCAGCGTGTAAGCGTTTTCGAAAAAGGGATCCATTTGCAAATGGAACGTCGATTTTGCCTTGATTGCCTCGTTCGTATTCGACTGGACGAGGTGTATTCCAGTAAGACTGATGCATAAAACGCTGTGCTAGTTGCAGCGTCGCCTCAGTGACTTCGCTTGGGTGTTTGCACAGCATGGGGCGTTTCGACCTCGAGCTCCTCAGTTGATACCACCTCCTCTGCACTGTAGATGGGTCCGTATTGCGCGAAAATTTCGCTGGTTCTCCTGCAAACACTGATGACTGATGCGCGAAATCTCCTGACTGTGGTTGTTAGGACGAATTGACAAGTGGCCTTCTGATAGCCCGCATACCCCCCAGCGTGTTGGCTTCGTCAAGTACTCCCGTAACATCTCGATGGCCTCCCGTCGTGTGGTACATATGATATATGTTGGTGTTATGCGACTGTAGCTAGAACGAAAGCAGAAGGGGCAGGACGGAAGAGGCATCGCCGGTTTCGAAGAGGATAGAAAGGGGAGATGCTATGAGGATGAGGGGAAAATGCCGTTTTAGTGAAATGACAGTTCAGAAGAACCACTGAATGTTGAAAACTGTGCGATGAAAGAGCGTGTCGAAACTCGCCTTAGAATTCTTTCTGGGTGTTTACTGTTATTTCGGTGATACGATTTGATTTGTTCTACAGCGGATGGATGGAGTGGGTTCGAGGATGGTTAATTGTTTCGTTCTTATTAGTTTATTATGCGTTTTTTGCATCTGTGCAGTGCAAAAACGTGTATTGTCGTTTTTATGCGTTTTTACCTATATGCAAATTGCAAAAACGCATATTGAGACGACCCTGTTTGTTGTGTGTGTGTGTGTGTTCGTCTGTCCGGGTATTTCACCTCGGCAACCAAGCAAGTTACAGCGCCGAGATTTTGCTGATGGGTACCCTGGCCAAGTGTCACCCCAGAACCGCGGTACTAACCTTCACGCACGTCTGGGTCTCGCGTACGAGAGGGTGAAAGTTTTGACGGGAAAATTGATAACTCGAGAACGAGAAAAGACAGAAGGCTGAAACTTTGGGAATATGTGCCCATATCATGCGCGACCCTCCCATTTTGATATCATCCCCTGCGAACACCTGGGCGCCGTGTGCGGACCCCTTAAAAAAAATATGCAAATTTTTTGGCGGTAAAGCGATCTCGGGAACCATACGAGCCAAGGAGCTGAAACTTTGTAGGGATATTCCCTGTGCATGTACTGGCTAAAGATTTCAAATTCAGCCCCCCGTTATGCGTGGTACCTACGTAAGAGCGCATGAAAGTTTTAGGGTGAAAATTGCTAACTCGAGTACCAGGAAAGCTAGAATGCCGAAATTTTGGGTAGTATCCCCCATCTAAGTGCAACTCAAATATTTCAAACTCAGCCCCCAGATATGCGTGGTACTCACGTAAGGGCGTATGAAAGTTTTGGGGGGAAATTACTAACTCGGCAACCAGAAAAGCTGAAAGGCTGAAATTTTAGGAGAATGTTTCCTGTCCAAGCACAACTTAAATATTTCAAATCCAGCCTTCAGGTATGCGTGGTACTCACGCAATGGCGCATGAAAGTTTCTGCGGGAAAATTACTAACTCGGCAACCAGAAAAGCTGGAAGGCTGAAATTTTAGAGGAATGTTCCTTGCCAAATTACAACTTAATTGTTTCAAATTCAGCCCCCAGCTATGCACTGTATTCGCGCGAGGGCGTATGAAATTTTCTGCGGTAAAATTACTAACTCGGGAACCAGAAAAGCTAGAAAGCTGGAATTTCAGGGGGATATTTCTTGTCCAAGCACAACTTAAGTATTTCAAATTCAGTCTTTCTACGTACGGGTACTTAAAATTTGGGCTGAATTTCTGACTGAACAACTAGGTTACTCATAAAAAACGATCGTTGAATAGAAATTGTACATTTACTTTATGCAAAATTTGTGGTGATTTATGCTAGTGACCACAAGAGGAAGGTGTAGAGCAACAACTATTCACGCAATTAATGACCTGAGTACTTCAAGTGTGGTGCAAAAACGCATGATCGCACGGGCCCGGCTGGTGCATTCCAGTCTGGGTTTTCATCTCGAGACCTAAAAAAGCTGCAGGACTGAGAATTTGGGAACTTAATCTACATGCACGTACGGGCCCTAATCCCTAAAATGGGTACTTTTGCCCACGTGGTTCCCATGTACGGGTCCATCAAAGTTTTCCGCGAGTAAGCCGCTAAATCGGGGGCCAAGAAAGTTATAAAGTTGAAGTTTTAAGGGGATGTTCCCCGTCCACGTAGGTCTTAATGATTTTATATCCAGCCCCCAGCTATGCGTGGCCCTACGTATGGGTCCGTGAAAGTTTTCTGCGGATAAGTTGCTAACTTGGGAACTTGAAAAGCTAGAAAACTGGAATTCTAAAGGTATGCTCCCCGAAGAACTTGGTAAATTCAAGCTTTGTCCCTAGTTATGCATGGTTCTCACGTACGGGCCGGTGAAAAATTTTGGCAGGTGGGTTGCTAACTCGGGAACCAGGAAAGCTAGAAAGCTGAAAATTTGAGAGGATGTTTTCAGGCAGGCTTGCTGACCAGTCTCAATTCTCTTAGCTTGAAAGTCTGGCGAAAAAACAGTGCCGTTAGCGACAAAAACTGCAGGGAATTATGCAAAAAACGCATCTTCGCACCGGCAGTCGATGCGCTGACCATTGAACAAATCTTTGCAGAACATCACTGCGCTCTATCGCCGCGGTTTGCATTAAGCGGAGCACTATTTTTGTCGCATAATTTTCGAATATATTTCTGCTGCTGCTGCTTTTCAGACGTGGAAACTAGCAGTGGCCAGCAGGCTGAAACTGGTACTGCGCT